GGCCTCGGAGGGGGCGGGGCCCGAGCCCAGGGAGATCAAGGCTCCTCGGGGCGCGTTCTTCTGTCCCCGGCAGACAGACCCCATTTTCAGATGGCAATCTCCCGAAAGTCACGAAGTCAGTGAGTCGGAGACATGAGGTGTGAACTCGGTCCGTCTAACCCCTGTTCACAGGTAATATTCAGAAAAAGGTGAAATGGTCATTTTCATTTAGGTATAAATATGGACAAGACTATTCTACTCGTTAGTCAACGGAGGAACTAGACATGTTATAATCAGTTCAAAAGAGAATGGATATAGATCAGGAATATCGAAATGACTGTAAATAGAGGCAGAACTAGTTTTTCCTCAGGGTTGGGGCGGGGGAGGTCCCAGAACCTCTGGACAAGACAGTCTGCACTTTGTAAAGAAGACAATGGAAGCCTGGTCCAAAACAGCAAGGTATGCGGTGAACAGGCCACGCACGGCTGTCCACTGAAGCACACATTTTTTTCTCCGCCCCCAAACCTGCACCCTGCAGGGCTCCCACGCACCCAGCACTTGGAGGTGACAGGGTGGCACCTGCCAGGCATCTTGGCACAGGAGTTCACAGTAAACATGGGAGAAGGGAGGCCCGGGCAGGAGGAGTAGGGCCTGGGAGGCCGGACTGGAGCCGGGCCCCACAGAGCCAGCCTGGGCCAGCCTGAGCCTCTCCAAGCCCAGCCCCCAACGCCTGTTTGTGCAGCTGGCAGTTCTGGGGCTGGCCTGCAGCTGCGGCCCCAGCCGAGTTGAGCGGGCCCCTTTATTGGTCCTGGCTGTGGGCTTTGAACTTTATGAGGCCCCAAGCTTCTAGAAGCCGGGAGAGTGGGCAAGATGACTATGTGTGGGCAAGATGACTACGTGCTCCAGCCATGCAGCTGGGAGGACTGGTCACTCAGGAGCAGGCGACAGTGACCCCAGGGAGGACAGATCGCAGAGCCCTGGGAAGTTTGCCGTGAGAGGGCGGAGCAGGGTCGTCAAGCTCACACGGCTGTGCTCAGCTGAGCCCAATAGATGTGGAGTCTTCATTGCGTCTGCATTGAACCAGGTGTTCCTGAGTGCTCACCTGCAGCTTAGTGCTTGAAATAAAATAACTAAAACGTGGTTCTTAGAGATACTTTAAACAGCCTTTGGGTAATGCACAGTCTCCGTGGGAAAAAATACACCGGGGCCTCCCTTCTCTGCTCCTGTCTGGGGGGTGGGGGTGCGGGGGGTGCAGGGAGGCACAGGTCGCCCCGCACATCCTCCTTGGGGTGGGGAAGAGTCAGGTGTGTGGCCTCTGCATGGGCCTCTGTTTGCTGTCTGCCGGGCAGGCCCATGTGGCTTCTGGTCTCTCTGGGGATCAGGATGAGCCTGGAGGGCCCACGTCTGGCTTGAGCTCACACTGGTCCCTGCTTAGGCTCCAGACCCTCTGAGGGCTGGCTGAGCCCCCTAAAACCCTAGCCTTATAGGCCTTCCAGGTAAAATACAGGACACCCAATTAAAGTTGAATTCCAGATAAACGACAAACGGAACTTGGGGTGTGCTCATACTAAACAATTGTTCTCCGTTTATCTGAAATTCGTAATGAACCGGGATTCACAGCCGTCCCTGTGAATCCACACTGCGGCCTTCCTGCAGGCCACCTTGCCCTCTGACACCTGCTGGCGACCTCGCAGCTGTCCTGGGCTCTGTCCATGGCAGCGCAGGAAGCGGGTTGGCTCCGGAAAGCTGAGCCTGGAGGCCTCCCCCGCCGACCTTGCTGTGCCACCAGCTTGGCGTCACAGGATGGCCTCATATTTCCTGCATCGGCTACACCTGCCCCTCGGCCTGGCCCAGCGTGGGAGATCCGAGCCCGCATCTTCCTGCTCTGCCGTCCCCCGCCCCGTCCCTGTGGCCTCCCACAACATCCCGGGCCCAGAAGCTAGAACCAGGTGAGTGGACATCACCGTCACCTGCTCCACAGGCTTGGTCATTGGTATGTAGGAAGGTGTGGTAGGAACGAATCGTTCCCAGTATTCCTTCCGCCTCTGTCGTTTGGGAAGAGAAACCCCAGGTTTAGCCTTGTGCTGGCTGCCCGGTGAGGGAACGCCCCCCGCAGTCCCCACAGCTTAGAGGGGCCATGCGAGCGAGTTCTGATCTACAAGTACGGAGGTGACGAGCGCGATCCTGATTGTGCCCGCGGACCGGAGGGGCGAGCCCTCTGCTCTCCCTTCCCTGCTTCCTGCTGGCTGCCACGCGGGTGTGAGGTTGTGATGGTGGGAACCGCAGCAGCCATCTGAGACTATAAGGTGGAAGCCATATGCGAAGGACCCAGAGCAACAGCACAGACCTCAGTATCGCCCTGGACTGCTTGTGCCCAGACTCCTATTTAAGGAGAATAAACTTCCGTTTGATTTAAACCAATACCATTTGGGTATTTATTACAGTCGCTGCATCTAACTATGACAGAGGGATATAGGAATTTTTAAAAACCTTTCAAAACAATAGCTTGATTTTTTTGTTTGTTTGGGGGTGGGGTGTTTGTTTGTTTGTTTGTTGCAAAAGCTTAGCTTATTCTTTCTCAGTGCATTCCTTCTGCACGAAATCTCGCTTTGCTTCATGCAGACAGATGCCTGAGACCAGCTAGGGTGTGAGCAAAAATCAGTTTAAAGTCTTTGGAACTGTGGCTTGCTTTCGCAGAATCCTCCTAGGCGCTCGGCGAAGGCTTGAGGGATGAAGGGACCCTGGGGCTGGCCCCCAGCTGCCCTGACTCACCTCCGCACCCACTCGAGGCTGTGCCAGGGACCTGTTCAAACATCCTGCACGATGAATGCCTACAGGCCCCACCTGCACAGAGCCTTTGTGAACACACGCTTGCTCAACCACAACAAAGTGGCCTTGCCAGGCCCCTGTATTATTACTATAATGGCACAAACGTCACATTCATTATCCTTTTAAATGTTTAGACCACTGCAGATAAAGTTAGTGTTCCCTCTAATCCGCTTCCCCCTTGGTTTCCTTGCCTGCCCCCGCCCCCCGTCCTCCAGGGACCCCTCGGCACCCCACCGACGCCATCGGTTTGGCCTGTGTCCTTCCAGATGTTTTCAGATACTTTTATGCACCTGTGTGTGCCTGGCGCTATGCGACATCGTGCTTTATGTTTTACGGATCCTTCTGTCTTGCTTTTACCTCTCAGGAATCGTTTTGAAATCAAGCCGCATCGATGTCTATGGCTCTAATTAGTTCATTTTTACTATTATTTCACATGCTCTCCTTTTAACGCATCGCTTAACCCATCGACCCATCCGGGATGTTTAAATAGCAAACATTTGTTTGCCATTGTTTTTTAAATGTTAAAATGAACATCTTTGTGTAAACCTTCTTGGGCACATAATATGTTTTTCACTTTTTCAGATGAAAACAGGAGTCGAGTTGTAGCAGTAATAACATGCACGTGATCAGACTTAACGGTCACTAACAGACTGTCGTCCAAAGGGCACCCCCTTTGACGATCTCCCCAGCTCGGGTATGTGTGGGTTGCCCCGCGACCTCTCCAACACTGACGTTGTGGAACTCGGAAATTTTGCATTCACCTGTTGGGCACGTTCAGGCATCTCGCTGCTGTTTACGCTTGAAGTTTTAATAAGTTATTTCTTCTGTGACGATCCAGTTGGGGCCTTCGTTCTGCCCTGGGGTCATTTGTTACCGACGGGTGGGAGTCTGACATGCATTCTGGCCACTAACGTGTTGCCTCATACACACGTGAATGGGGCAAACACGCTGGTCATCTTCACATCCTCTCAAGGCATCATGTGGTATAGGTGTTTCAAATCTGTTACCGGTGACCTTTCTGGCTCTGCCATTCCGTCCTGTTTAGGAGGCTGTCCCGACTTTAAGGTCATAAAGATGTCCTCCTGTGTTTTTAGCTAATAATTGTCGTTTAGTTGTCTTGGTTTTTTTCCTCCTCTATCACTCCTGGATGCCCTTAGAGAATAGGTCTTTAATATTTCATCTTCCTTTTTGGTTATGGACCTGTTCAGAGTTTTCTCTTTCTTCCTGGGCCAGCCTTGCTAAAAAATATTTTCCTAGAAAAGTGTCCATTTCATTGAGGTTTTCAAATGTGGGGTATTAATTTCTTCCCAATCCTATTTTTAATCTCTTTAATGCTGATGCTGTTTATTTGTGTCTCCTTTCTTTGCTTCTTGATGCGTTTTGCAGAAGGACTGTCTATTTTATTAGTCTTTTCAAAGATTATTCAAAACATCAGCACTTGATTTTGTTCACTTTTTTGTTTGTTTTCTGTATCACTGATCTCTACTTCTATTTTCCTTCACTTTATTGTCTTTGGATTTCTTCTGTTGTTCTTTTCTGGTTTCGAAAGTGCATGGTTTGGTTCACTTATTTTTAAATCTGTCTTGTTTTGATATGAACACAGTTGAGGGGCTACATCTTCCTCTGAGAATAACTCACTATTTGAGAAGTAGCACTTGTGTTTTTATTAAGTCCTTAAGACTCTCATTTCCGTTAGTTCCTCTCTACCTCATCCAAAATGTCCTTAATTTGGCAGCAGTAGAATCCATCAGCCTTGGCCTTTAGAATTAGTATTTCTGTGTCTTTTTCAAAATTCATTTTCCTACCCCGAAGAAAAGTAGATCCACAGGTCACCTGGTTATTTTTGTTAATAATGTTGGGGTCACACTTTCTTTATATCACGTGGACCCCTGACTGGCCTGTGATTTTTGGAATGATTTTCCTATTATTGTTAATATGGTATTTAGGTTTTTTGGGGGGCGGGTTAGAAAAATTGGCCTACGATTTTCCTTTTTTGCAATTTTCTCATCGGATTTTGGATGAGATTATGATAAAAAAAAAAGTTGGAACATATTCTCTTTTCTAGAAGAGTTCATGTAAGATCAGGGTTATTTTTTCATAAATATCTGGTAATGTTCACTCATAAAACAATCTGAGCCTGGGAATTTATTTTGTGAAAAGCTTTTTAATTGCAGATTCTGTGTGATACTTTTAAGACTATTTAAATCTTCCTATTCCTCCTGTGTTAATAGTGCAAGTTGTGTTTTTTTAAAAAAGTGTTCGTTTCATCTAGTCTTTCGAATTAACATAAAGTTATTCCTAATATTCTCTTACTATTTTCCATGTCTATGGCATCGGTAGCGATGTTTATTTTATGTTTATTTTCCTATTTCGTTAATTTTTCCTTTTATCTTTGTTTCTTTTTCTTTGAGTTTCATTTGTTGTTTGGTTGGTTTGGTTGGGTTTTTGCTAACTTCTTGAGGGAAATACTTGTCTTGGTTTTCAACCTTTCTTCTTTTCTATTATTGCAGTCAAAGCTATACATTAAGCATGGCTTTCATATATTGCATAAGTTTTGAAATGTAGTTTTTTTCATTTTTATTAACTCCAAAATAAGTTCTAATTTTTTTGATCCACGAGTTATTTAGAAGTATATTTCTTAACTTTCAAACATATGGAGACACCTAAATTTACTTCTCGTTACTGATTTTGGACATAATTGAATTGTACTTAGAGAATAGACTGTATCATTCGATCCCTTCAAAGTAAAACTTGCTTTATGGCTAAAACAGTCATTTTTTAAAAACAGTCCGTGCTCACCCCAAAAGACTGCATTCTGCAGTCCGTGTTCTATATATGACCATTCGGTTTTTAAATCATTTTGTTCAAATCCTCTATATATTTATTGGTTTATTAAAGAACGATTAGTTTGTCAGGTCTGAGAGAGCTGCGTTAAAATTTCCCACGGTAGCTCTCATCTGGCCATCGCTCCTTGCTTGATTCCTTGACCACGCCTCGTCACAGCTTAGGGCTGCGTCACCAGGCACACGCGGACTCTGACCTTGCTTTATATCTTCCTGCCGAGTTGACTCAGTCACCACCCTGAAATGACCATCGTGGACCCTACTGATGCTTTGTGAGTTAACGTCTACTTCATCAGATAGTCTTAGAGTGGGTAGTGCAGGGTAAGTCTCTCTCCACCGTCTTACTCTGTCTTTCTATGTGCCTATATTTCGGATATTGTCTTATAAATGGCTGTTGTGTTTTGTTTTTTAACCTTATGTCATAGTCCTTGCCTTTTAATTAGAACAATTAGTCCATCCATTGACTTCTTATGTAATCACTGCTATTTTGGGTTTTAAATCTGTCATTTTATGAGGTGCTTTCTGTTCTTCCTCCCCAGTCTATATTCCTGTTTGTCACCTGTGTTTTGTAATGGCTTTACTGAGATGTAATTCGAATGTCGTACAACTCACTCGTTCTCGACTCAATGGTTCTTGACATGTTCACAGAGCCATGCGACCATCAGCACGATTTCAGAGCATTTTGTTGCCCCGCAAAGACACCCATCGGTAGCCATTCCCCAGTCCCCCCTTCCCGCCCCCCACACACGCACCCAGCACCGGCAGCCGCTGATGTACTTCCTGTCTCTACGATTCGCCTGCTCCTGACATTTCACGTCGACGAGACCCCGTAACAGGGGGGTCTTCTGGGACTGGCTTCCTTCGTGTTCTGGGGACCCGTCCACCTCGTACCGCGTGTCAGAGCTTCGCTCCTTCATCCCCGTCGCCTGCACGCGCCCCCTTTTACTTACGCGTTCATCCGTTGGTGGACGTTTGTGTCTTTCCCACTTTTTTCCTATTGCAAATAATGCTGCTAAGGACATTTGTGCATGAGCTTTTGTGGGGGCGCCTGTTTTTATTCTCTCGGGTGTATACTTAGAGGGGTGAGCCGTCTGGTAACTGCGCTCAACATTTTGAGAAACTGCTAAACCGCCTTCCAAGCTTTTTTTTTTTTTTCCCCAGGAAGTGGTCATTGAGAGTTGCTGCCGAATTTACCGTTCAGGTCACTCCTTGGTGATTCCTGCATCTCCCGTCTTTTCCCTGGGGTCACGTGCGCTTAGCACAGGTTCCCCAGGGACACACTCTCCCAATTTTTGTTTGCTTAAAAACGTCTTCATGTTTTATATTTTCATTGGGAATAGAACTTTCGAGGGACAGTTATTCTTTCTCAGCCCTTCAAATAGACCACCTCCCCTCTCCCCGCTGCCTTTCGGCCTCCGCTCGTTCGGTCATGAGGTCTCTTGTCAGACTTATTATTGCTCCTTCGAAACGAAGCGGGACCCCTCCTTCCGTCGTTCAGCTTGTCCCTTCGGCTCTGCATGGTATGCTGGCAGACTCGTCCACAGAGTCCTTCAGTCTGTTTTTGCGCTTCTAGAATTTCCATTTGGTTCTTCGTTATTACCATCACTTTCAAGTTCTCTGCCACGATCCTCATTCTGGACTTTGATCTGCTCATACGTAGCAGGCAAAGATGTTTTCATTTGTGATTGTGATAACGCTGCTGGGAATTTCTTCCCCCACATGGTGATAAGCATTTGACACGCACTTGTTGGATGTCTTTAGTGCGTAGGATCACAAGTGGACTGAGCGGCCATCTCAGCTGAGCCGTCGGCATATTTTCTCTGTCTTAGGCAGGGAGGTGTCTAAGTTATCTACAGTGTATAGACTTCCACTCCTACTTGTGAAGCTCTACAGTGGAAGCTTCTCGCCTTCGCCTGGCCCTCTGCATACTGAGAAAGGGGCTCCGTTCTGCCCCAGGAGGGGCTGGTTACCGGGGCCTGTGGAGGTCAGGGCATTCGAGGTCACTGCGCCTTTCCAGTCCCTGCTCCAGCTGTGCAGGGACTTCAGAGAGAAAGGCATGGTCCTCAATTACTCGTTCCTCTGGATTGCTTCCCTTGGCCCCTGAGCCGGCCGCCTGAACTGGAGTGATCTCATGTGTCAGTGGATTCCCAAATGCTTGTCCAGTCATGCTCTTGGAAGAACTAACCCCGACCCACCCATCTCACTTCGCTGTCCCCTGGCCCCATCCTAAGCCAAGCCCGGGGTAATGAGACTGGCTCTGAGGGTTCTGCTTCTGGAGCTCCCAGACGTCCCAGAGCTTGGCCGAGAGGTGTGTGTGCGTGCACACGTGTGTGTGCGCGTGTGTGGTTTGTTTTTGAACCACGCTACGTTATTGAAATATGATTCACCCATTTAAAGCGTGCAAGTCAGTGGTTTTCAGTGTAATCGCAGAGTTACACATCCACCGCGACACTCGATTTAGAATAGTTTCGTCACTCCAGAAAGAAACCTCGCACCTTTTAGCCGTCACTCCCCATTTCCCCCAGTCCCCGCCCCCAGCCCCTGGAAACCCCTAATCCACTTCCTGTGTCTGGATTTGCCTGTTCTGGACATTTCGCATCGATAGGATCGTGCACATGTGGCCTCTTGTGACTGGCTTCTTTCACCGAGCACCACGTTTGAGAGGTTTACCGGGTCACAGCACGTATGGGTGCTCCAATCCTTTTTATTGCGGAGTGCTAGTCCGCTGCGTGGACAGATCACGTTTCGTTCATCCGTCATCAGCTGGTGGACGTCCGGGTTTGTCCCCTCCGATGTAGCAGAGGCGGTTCTTTGGGTTGTTTTCGCTTTTCTGTTTGTTATGAACGATGCTGCCGTGAACATTCAGCCACAAGTTTCTGTGTGGACGTGTTTTCACTGCTTTGGGGTGTATATACCGACAAGTGAAATTGCGGGGTCATCTGTCGCTCTGCGTTTAACAGGTTGAGGACGTGCCAGACTGTTTTCCACAGCCGCTGCACCGTTTTACATTTCTGCCGGCTGTGTACGAGAGTTCTCCTTTCCCCACGGCCATGCCAGCTCTTGTCATTCCGATTACAGCCGTCCTGTTGGTGGTGACGTTGTATGTCAGTGCACCTGTTCACGGCTGATGATGCTGAGCATCTTTCATGTGCTTATTTGTACAGCTTCTTTGAGAAATGTCTATTATGATCCATTTTCCATTTTTAATTGGGTTATTTGTCTCTCTTGTTGAGTTGCAAGGATTCTTTATGTATTCTAGCTACAAGTCTCTTCTCAGATATATGATTTGCAAATATTCTGTGTTGTCTTCACTTCCTTAATGGTGAACTTCGAAGCACAGAATTTTAAATTTTGATGATGTCCAATTTATCTATCTTTCTTTTCATTACTTGTGCTTTTGGTGTCATAGCTGGGAAACTATTGCCTAATACGAAGTCATGATCATTTACACCTGGGTTTTTTTCTAAGAATTTTATAGTTTCAGCTCTTATATTTAGGTCTTTGATCCATTTTGAATTTTCGCCTATGGTGTGAGGTAGGGGTCCAACTCTACACTTGCATGTGGAGGCATCCTGTTTTAATTATCATTTTCTGTAACCTTCTGGTTTTTTCATGATCTGGGCAAGAAGGTCTCATTTTACCCCTGTTACAATGCCCAATAGGATGAGCTTGCCATCACGCCCATAGTGAACCCTACAGAAAATTATCCTTGAGCATAAACGCACACGCAGTCACACGCACATGCACACACACACATACACGTGCGCACTATGACCCAGAGGATGGGGTCCGCCCTCCTCGCCGCTCCCACCCCTGGCTACGTAGGCTCCTCAAAGTCCTCCTATAGGCACTTGTTTCTTTTGGCTGAGTCATCAGCCATTTTTTAGTCCTTTTGCTAAAACATTAATATTTGTGTTGCAGCTGAGTCTATGAGGTCTGTTCCAGGTCTGGTTTAGCCAGTTCTTTGCTAGGCGGGGTCAGGACATGAGGAGAGCAGCCTGCGTCAAATGAACTTCCTAGGGAAGGAGTCAGATGGAGCAGATAACTAGGCGCCAAGCGTGCAGTTCCTCTGAGAGGGCGGCATCCACGTCACCCTGGATAAGTCCCCTAGAAGGCAGGTCCTGTGTCTTACTCGTCCTCATGCCCCAGTGCCCGGCACGTGGGCTGTCATAAAGCAGGAGTGGGGTGATACTTGGAGAAATGCCAGCGGGGAGGGAGTGGACAAGCGGGAGCAGGAGGGGCTGGGCGTGGGGAGAGAGGGACATCAAAAGGCATCGGGTGGGCTGTAGAGCCAACGCTGCCTCCTCTCCCACGCGGGCTTGGCCGGCAGTGGGACCGGCATTACCTGCTCCGTATGACTGTCCCTGGAGACAGGGCTGGCGGTGGGTAGCTGGGTGGAACTGACCCCTTCTTTCCTCGCCCCTTTGGACAACACACTCGGCCCCTGCTCCCAGCGCCACGGAAGGGCGTCCTCTGCCCAGCGGCCTCAGCTCTGTGCGGGCGAGCACCCGCCCTTTGTCCCACAGAGAGCCAGATTGCTGCGTCTGCCCGATCCGGTCTGGCCCCAGCCCAAGGCTGAGCATGACCCGTGCACGAGCTCACCCCGGGACTAGGCAAAGGAAGGACACCAGCTGTTTGCCAGCCCGTTGGCAGCAGAAGGAGCAAGGCAGCTTCCAAACTGCCTGCTGGCGGTCGGATGAGGGTGCTGGCCGCTGACCCAGCTGGCAGGCGAGGGGGAGAAGAAGCATCTGCTCTTTGCCGCTGTCGGGGGGCTCATTCAAGCCCGCAGGCTGTGGTAGCGGGTTGCATCGCGTCTCCCCAAACGAAATGTTTAGGCCCCAGTCCTGTACCTGTGACTGTGGCTTTATTTGGAATCAGAGTCTCTGGGTGGGATTAAGTTAAGGCTCTTGCGAGGACATCATTCTGGGCTTAGGGTGGACGCTACACCCAATGACCAGAGTCCCTGAGAGAAGAGAAGGAGATCCGAGAGCCACGAGAAAGAGGCCACGTGAAGACAGGCAGAGACCGAAGGGGTGTCGCCAGAAACCACAGAACCCTGGGCCCCCGGAAGCGGGGGGCGGCAGGAAGCAGCCTCCCCGACATACCCGGGGGTACGAGGCCCCGCCCACACCTTGGTTTTGGACTTGCGGCCTCCAGAACTATGAAGGAATAAATGCCTGTCTGACACCATTGAGCTCGTGGCAGTTTGTGGCAGCAGCCCGGGGCACAGAAGCAGCCGTCCGGCCTGCCTTCTGCCTGGACTCGCCGTCTCCTCCAGGCACAGGGCGGCCGGCGGGCCGGGCCCAGCCGAGCCTGCTCACCGGGTTCCCGCGGGGGAAGCGCCAGCCCAGGGCCCAGCCTGTGCCTGCTGCGTGCCGCGGCCTCGGGCCCCAGTGTGAGGCCCCCCAGGCCCCCAGCGGGCAGTAGGCGGAGTCCGGGGTGGGGACAGAGAGGCGTAATGACCAGACTGAGGAAGCCACGATGCTGAAACACGATTTCAAGTTTAATGC